ACAATAATTTAAAAAAGTTATTTTGTCATTGTCACTTATTATTAAAATTCTAGTTAGTTTCTAAACCAGATAACTTTGAAAGGGTTTCAACCATATTGGTTTTAAGTATCTACCTACAGTTACTAGTTACGCAGACATAGGCATGCTACCATTTTAATATATTATGTTTGTATATAGCTAGTATAAATTAGGTCATAACTCGTGGGAAATTTGTTAAGTACAGGTAGGTATGCTGATGAATACAACCATATGCTAAAAGTATGAAAAATTCAATAAATTAGCYCGAAATTTAACTGTTGATGATAATACACTAAACAATATCGGAATAAAGTAAAGCCTGATCGCGGTAATTGCAGCTTGCCTGTTGGAACCGAAACCGCGTTATCTACTTTATTACAGATTGGGTTAAACTTAATTTCTTTTTTCGGGTAATATTATAAAATTTAAATAGGTATGTAGGTACATATTATAGTCGCAAAATGTTTGATATTATATATATTAATTATTGTTGTATAAGTACYTACGTATGTCTAATATCCACATATTATAATGTATTAATATGTAATAACTAATAAGCTAGTTATCTCTAAATTACTTAATTATTTACTATATATGGATGTTAAAATGACTAGTAAAATACATAAAAGTAGTTTAGGCATTTGACAAAGAATAAATCTTGTATGTCAAAATGTTTAAATCAAGAAATATACATTCGTTAACTATAAAACTATTTCCTACCTACCTATAGTTTAATGTGTATGTAGGTAATTACTAACTAGATACCTATCTTAAAATGATTCTATTTTTAATTTTTTTTATAAGTTTAGATGATATCATTCGTAATTTAATGTGTTTTTATAATTTCAAGTCAATTATTTCTGAAAAAGACAAGAATCAATGCATTTATTAAATATTTGAGATTGAATTTTATAGGAAATCGATTTTTTGTATACCTACGAAATAATAATAATTGCATCAAAATAAAAAACGTTGTTTAATGTATTATGTGTTATTTAAAACCGAATTAGTGCGATATTATGAGTGGATTTTAATTTTTAATGCGAATTATATACCTATATTATATAGGTAATAGGTATATTTACTAAAAAATTTTCCTAATACCAATACGTAAATTATTAATTATTTAAACTGAAACTTATTATGGTATATCGAGTTATGAATAATACCACAATAGACTTCAATATAAATAGTGTTTTGAATTAGGTACAAATAAATTCAACTTAGATCAATTTCAAAAAGTATTTGAGTGTCTTTATATTTAATGTCTTTTCATAATAACGCTCAAAAAACAATTCTTAGTAGTTAGTAAAGCTCAAATTGTAAAAATAACAAACCACTGTAACCATTTTTATTCTATACAAATTACATTAGGTAAATTTCTAAACTTATTCCTCGAGGACTTAGCCACATAGGTCTTGGGCAACAAAATAAATATAATAATATGTAAGTATAAGTAGTATAACTCATGCATATAATATAATATTTATCTAGTTAGGGAGTCTTTACTTAAGCGACACATGATTGACATACGTATACCGCTGGACACTGACAATGTCATGAAATAGATACTTAATAGCCCGCTTTGTTCAATTATTATAATTGTTGGGAATAATTCTTAAATGTTTATAAAAAATAAATTTAATAAGTAAGTAAAACCAAACGATTCTAATTGTACAATATAATATATTATGTATACGTATTTACATRTWACATTTATAAGAAACACAATTATTTAAATTTTTTTGGTGAGTACCTATAATAAATAATAATGACAAAAAAAATTTGTAGGTACGATTTTATTTGGTACTTTTAATTATTTAAACTTTAAAGGGTATTAATATTTTAAAGAGTTAATTTATTAATAAACTATTAATTACCATATTATGTATTTAAAATTTAAAGGACAACAGCTAACAACTCTAATAAATTGTTCTTGTATAAATGCTTGAGTTTTGATAATTCTTAATTTAATCACGGAAGTTTATTTTTATTATTCCATTTGAAAAATGTGTCATAGAAATTTGTAGGTAATAATCTGTATTAGTTACCTATAGCATTTAATTTATGTTTTTTTTTTATTGGATCATTTTTGTTGATTGCTATCAAATAGTACCTATCTGTGTGTTAAGTGTATTATACTGTTTAATAAATAAAATTAAACGACATCATCAAATTATTGCATTCAACTTAATATAACCAAAAGACCTCATGAAGTCACGACCATAATCTCGATGACTCGATCGCATAGGTAACCTCAACTATAAACATCAAGGCTAAAGGCTAAAACGTCCTATATATTCGAGGTGTTTTTGTTTCCCGTCGCAAAACCGTGTACGGCATTTGTCGATGCCATAAAATTGATGAGTTACCACTTACCCACTGGCCTAGATTATGGCCTAGGCTCGTGGGTACCAAAAACGTTTAAAACTAAGTAACTATTCATGTCGTGATCATAGACGTGCGTACCATGGGGGGTGCAGAATGTGCATTGGCACCCCCAAAATTTTTAACGTGATAAAAATATATCTTAATTCGTGATGAATAAAAAATAAAAAACGTAAAATGTTTTTAATTTGCTTGGAATAACCTATTATGGCGATAACAGCTTCCTTTTATATTGACTACAAAAGTACAAATAATAAATACAAATTAAATAAATCTCTTAAATAGATTGGTCTTAGATCCAGGAAAATTCGAAATAATAYATAACTTGGTAGTTAGTACACTACACACTAATATCATTTTATACCTGCCGGCTACCACTGATTAATATATACATGTCTTGTTAAGCCTTAAAAACTAGGGCCCATAAATATTATTTATGTGTATTCCCCCCCCCCCGACATTCAGGTCTGCGCACGCTTATAGTATAACCTTTTATCATATTCTGATTAGACATTGTAATCATGGTATCATTCACTACCTGTCAGGAAATTTCCAGAGTTATGCCCATTTAAACATTTAGGTACACGACGCAACAGACGAGGTAGTTGGATAGCTATAAAAGGTACCGCATTACAATAATTATCCCTCCTCCCACGTTAGTACGCCCATCAATTTCGAAAACTTTTATATTCTGAGGGTAGTGATGATGAATGGATTGATTTTAAAATGAAGYTTTTTTTATTTATTTTTATCCGTGTCTTTATGTTCGATCAGTTTTAGTAAATAATAATTCTTCGATTTTAAACTTCAGTATCTTTTTCGGTGGAAAATTCAATCTGAATGGGGCATTCGGAAGGTCAAAATATAAAATTCACRGTATTTTTCAAAAATATTTTTATAGATAAATGAAATTTTCGATTTTTATTAGTTTTTGTTTTTAAAACTATCGAGTTTGATTAAATAAAAAAATTTTTGCTCGGTCAAAAAACTGTTAATACAAGGTACATAGGTTCTTCAAAAATTGTTGTAAGTGGAAATTAAAAAAAATACGTTGAGCGAAAATTCACAAAATTTTTTRTG